TTCACAAGCTTCAAAATCTCCCCTCCCGCTACCGCATCCCAAAACCAGTCCAGCTCGTCCCTGCCTCCCTAACCTGTTCTTCCTCCCACCTCAAGCCGCACCCCCATCTCCTACCGACTAACCTCATCCCGCCCCCTTGACCTGTCCGTCCTCCCTGGACTGACCTATCCCCTCCCTAACTCCCCACCTACACTCACCTTTACTGGCTCCATCCCCGCCTCTTCGACCTGTTTGTTTCCTCTCCACCTATCCTCTCCTCTATCCATCTTCTATCCGCCTCCCACTCTCTCCCTATTTATTTCAGAACCCCCTTCCCCTCCCCCTTTTCTGATGAAGGGTCTAGGCCCGAAACGTCAGCCTTTCTGCTCCTATGATGCTGCTTGGCCTGTTGTGTTCATCCAGCCCTGCACCTTGTTGTCTCTCATTTACTATAACTGTTGTTTACTGTTACTCATATTCATTCAAGATATTACACATTGCTGTCACTAAGCATCTGGAAATGAACGTTGAAGGTGTCACATTGGGTGCTAGTAAAACAGGCTGCTTTGTCTTTAGTGGTATCAAGCATCTAGAGACATCCAGACAAATGGAGAGTATTCTGTCACATTTCTGATTTGTGCCTTGTAAATGGTGAAAAAGCTTTGAGCACCAAGGCGAGTTATTTGCTGCAGACTGCCTATCCTCTTACCTACTCTTGTTACTGTAGTGTTTATAATGGCTGATCCAATTCAGTTTTTGGATAATGGTAATGCCATTGAAAACCAAAGGATGATGATTGGATTCTCTCTTGTTGGAAATAGTCATTTTGTGGTAATTTTGTGATGGAAATGTCACTTGCCACTTAATAAGGCAAGACTAGATAATATCCATGTCTTGCTACATTTTTACATGGGCTGATTCAATACCTAAGAAGTCATAATAGTACTGAACGTTGTGCAAACAGCAGCAAATACCCTTATGACTTAACGATGGAGAGATGGTCATTGAAGATGGTTAGGCCTTGGACATTATCCTGAGGATTCTTGTAGTGACGGTCTGTGGCTGAGATTACTGACCTCCGACAGCCCTGACTATCTTTGTTCATGCTAGAAATGTCTCCAACCAGCAATGGGTTTTCTCTCTGATTCCCATTAACTCCAGTTTTACTCGGGCTTCTCATTACCACCCTTGGTCAAATGCTGTTTTGTTGTCAAGGGCAATGACTTTTACTTGTTCCCCACCCCATACAGAGACACATACACACCCCACCCCACCGAGTTCATCGCTCTTGTCTGTATTTGGACAAGCCTGAGGTCAGGATCTGTGTCAACCTGACAGAACCCAAAGAGGGCATTTGTTGGCAGGCTATTGTTGAGTAAATGCCATTTGATAACACTTTTGACAACAAATTCCATCATTTGCTATATAAAGTTTAAAGTTCCCCACAACCATTACATTTGCTATAAGCTCCAATAATTTCTTGTTTAATGTGCTCTGTTTGACAGTTTTAGTTACTGTTGGCAGCCTATAAACTACTCCCTCTTGCATTTTCTGAACTTGCTATTTCAAATCTCCAACAGTACTGGTTCTACATTCTGATCTTCTGCGCCAAGTTCCTTTTTCACTTGTGTCATCCTCTATTCTTTATTTGCTTGTTTTTTCAAAGTGTTGTGTACCTTGGAATACTTAGTATCAATTTAATCACCTTGCAGCTATGTCACTTGTAGCATTTAAGTCTAAGCCATTTATCTCTGTTTGTTCCACCAGTTCATCTGCTGTATTGTGAATGAACAGTAAATTCAGATAAAGTGACTTCATTTAGTTTAACTACTATTCCCTGCTTGGACCTTACTGTTATGCATTCTGCCCCTTTCTGTCTCACTCAACTTGTCCATATCCTCGTCAATGTACTTTTCCATTGCCTGAACTTTTCTCCTTGTAATTCTAACTCTCCCTTCCCCAAACTCTCCCTCTCCCTCTTTTGTTTGTTTAGAGTGATTTTTTTTTCCTTTTCTAAGTAATTACTGGTACATTTTTATGTTTGCATGCTCTGGCCCTTTCTGTCTCACTCTGGTTACTACTGCCTGTGCACCCTACACTCTTGCCCTGTCCTTTCACTTTACATTTTCAACTCTCCCTATGTGTTTGATGGTCATTTAACTTACTTTCACCTACTTTCTTAGAAGGCTACCTCTACCTCACTGTTCCAAATTACTTTCAGACCCTTAAAAACAAAGATCAGGACTTTATAGCATTGAAAACCAAACCTAATTTACCTTTACTTTAAAATGCAATCTTTCATTGCATTAGTTTAAACCCTTTTTATACTCTTTTTGTCACGACACTGGTCCCAGTACTGTTCAGGTGAAGACTACCCTAGGAAAGAGGAAACTGGATTACCAGTATTGGTGTGAATGCTTCCTGAACCAAAAAAAAAATTCTCTGACAATAGTCTTTCAGCCACACATTCAACACTTTGTTTTAGTTACCGCATGTTAATCGGTGACTGGGGCAGCAGTCCATAGATTATTATCTTTGTGGTTCTGTTTTTATAATTTAGTTCCTAGCTGCTAATACTCTGAGCAGAATCTGGTACTACCTATGACAAAAATAGAAAGTGCTGGAGTACCTCAGCAGGTCTGGCAGCACCTGTGGAGAGAAAACAGAGTTAATAATTCGAGTCCAGTAACCCTTCTTCAGACTGATTATTAATGTTCTTTAGGGAAGGTCTGGCCTGCAAGTGGTTGCAGGCTCAGCAATGTTATTGATATGTTTCAGAAAGCAGTTGAGTCAAACTATGAAACATCTTAAACCAGAGGGACCACCCAGCAGCAACATGCCAGTATGTCAGCGGAATGATATAAAGTTGGAAGGGAGTTGCCTACTTAACCTTCAGTGTTGGCTGCAGACCCCGTCAAGTCTCATGACATCGGGTCAAGCATGGACAATCATAGATCATACAGTACAGCAGAGGCCCTTCAGCCAATCAATTTTGTACTGCCTAAAATAAACCACTATTTACCCTGGTGCCACTTTTCCAAGCTAGGCCTATAGTCTTGAATGTTACGACCCTTCAAGTACTTTTTAAAGGTTGTCAGATTTCCCACTTCAACTATAATCCCAGGCAGTGCATTCCAGACACCCATCCTTAAATCTTGTCTAAACCTTTTGCTTTTAAAATGATGCCTTGATCCCTTGTCATTGACCCTTTTTAACTAAAGGGAATAGTTGCTTTCCTTTCACTGTCTATGCCCCTCATAATCCAGTAGACATCTATCAGATCCCCTCTCAACCCTCTCTATTCCAAAGAAAACAACATGAGCTTAACCAACTTCTCATTATACCTGAAATGCTCCATCCCAGGCAATATCCAGGTGAATCTTCTTTGCACTGCTCCCAGTGCATTCACATCCTTCCTGCAGTTTGGTGACCAGACATGCACAGTACTCTAGCTGTGGTGTAATCAAAAGTTCATGACCTCCCTGCTCATACAATCTATGCCACGAATGATAAAAATGAGTACTTAAAATGTTTTTGTAACTATTAAACTGTCCTTCCACCTTCAGAGATCTGTGGACAAGCACACCACGATCTATCTGTTCTTCTGAGCTTTTCAAAGTGTATCAACTCATTTATTTATCAGGGTTAAATTCCATCTGCTACTGATCTGTCCATCTGACTAATCTGTTTATATCCTTCTGTAAACTGATACCTTCTTCCTCACTGTCAGCCACCTGACCAATCTTATCATTCTCTACATTCCCCCCACCCCCCCGGCCTTTTCTCATCTACATGATTTATGAATGTCACAAACAATAAAGGGAATCAGGTAAGGAAACTTGCTGCTGATTACCATATACCTCGGATGGTGAATCATTACTCCAGGTTGAAGCCCACTTGGAGTGTGGTGAGGATGCAAAATGTATCAACAGTGACTCAGTAGCACCACTAAATTTAAAAAAAAACTGGTGATGCTGGAGATGTGAAAGTAAAACAAATTGCTGGCAAAACCCAGCAGGTGTGACAACATCTGTGTGGAGAAAAGAGTTAATGTTTCAAAACTGGAGATGGGATGTGGGGGTCAGAGGTGAGCAGATAGGTGGAGATGCAGCCCAGAGAGAGAGAAAAATGTAAAGGGTATGTCGCTGAGAGGATTATTGATAGTAAGCCAGGACAGAAGGGAACTTGAATGAGTAAATAGTGAGAGTGGACAGTAGGAGAGAATGGGTAGGTATAAGGGGAGGGCCTCAAATGTCCACCTTCTTCTTCAACTGAGGATTCTCCGCTACTGTGGTTGACAGGGTCCTTAGCCATGTCTGATGCTTTTCCCTCATTTCCACACTCACCCCTTCACTTCCCTCCTACAATGACAATAGGGTCAAACTGCTTCTCACGTACCAACCCACCAGCCTCTGCATCCAAAGGATTGTAAGCTGTCATTTTCTTCAATTCCAGACACACATTCCACTTCACTCCTTTGTCAGCATTTCACAGGGACCGTTTCCTTTGGGATACCCTGGTCCACATCATTTCCATTCCCAATGTCTCCCCACACCCTAGCGCCACCTCCTGCCATCGCGGAAGGTGTAACATCTGCTCTTTTACCTCCTCCCTCCTCACTATCCAAGGCCCCAGACCAGATGATGTAGGAGCAGATACAGGACCATTTGTCCATCAAGTTGACTCCACCATTCAATCGTGACAACAACACTCAAGAAACTTGACTGGTTCAGTTTTGGAAACCTGGTCGTCATGTCCTGCATGACTCTACAAAGCCTTCCAGGACAAAGCAGCCCCCTTGATTGTTTTTGATAGATATGATGGCATTCACTCACTCCATCACTGATGCACAGTAGTAGCAGTATTTATCAGCCAGAAGATGCACCACAGACGTTCATTAAAGCCCTTGAGATTGCACCTTCCAAGCCCATAACCACTTTATCATGTAGAAGGACAAGTGCAGTAGGTACACGAGAACAGATAATTCCCTTCCAACCCTGACTTGGAAATCTATTTTCATTTCTTCACTGTTGCTAGGTCACAATTCTGGAACTCTTCCCCGCTCCCCCCCCTACAGCATTGTGGGTGATCCTACATTAAATTTAGAGCAGTGGTTCAAGGTGGCAGCTCACCTCCACTTCCTTGGGGGATTTAGGGATGGGCAATAAATGCTCACCAAGTCAACAAAGAGTACAACCTCTGAATTACTTTTCTTTTATGAATCAATCAATTGCTACCCAGGTACCAGCTCTGCAAGGCATTGTAAAAAAATGAACGTTTAATAATAATCAACAGAAATTTATATGGCACTTTTAACACAAATAAATGTCTCAAGACTCTTCATGAGCACTGCCAGACAATTTTTAAAAAAGAAACATGAAATATTTTGAGCGAAATTGATGTCTCTCAGGAAAACAACCTTTCTCGGCACTTCCTTAAAAAGTTTCTTATAGAATTTAAATATAGTGACGTTCCCTTCAAATATTAGGCTTCCATAATCTCTCTCAAGCCCCTTTATACACTAACAGTAAGTACATTAGACAGTAACAAACACAAAGTTGCTGGAAAAGCTCAGCAGGGCTGGCAGCATCTGTGAAGAAAAAAATCAAGAGTTAACGTTTCGGGTCCGCTGACCCTTAGGACACGAAACGCTAACTCGTTAGAATATTAGACCATATCCATTTCTCGCAAACTTCACTTTCTGGTGTAACATTTGTTAAAGATTAGGTGGTCATTTCTACCAACGTAACGAATTTAATTTTCAACTTATAACAAATTGCTTTTAAATGGCTTATGGCAATGAAAACAGTACGTGGTGATGTCCCAGTGCACGATGTTAATATGCACATGCACATGCAGATGTAGGTGCTCTCTCATGAAAGCTCGGAATATGTTTTTGGCCTTCTGAGAAATAAACCCTGTAAACCGCAATGAATATTGAGAATGCTCAATAACATTACCACGCAGATTGAATTTGCATGTGTGATGACGCCGGCAGCAGGAACGGTGCACTGACAGTTTTACTAGAAGCAGTCTGATGCGATGTGTGCGGGAGCAAGTAGCGTTGACAATGCACACTCCGGCTTACATTCATCTTGCACTTTTTTTAAAAAAAACCTCAACCTAGAAGTTATACTCCTAAAATACGTACATCAAATGAGATACCTAATACAGTATATGCTACGTTGATTTACATGCTCTCATGCCATCCCAGTAATGGATAATTGTATGGTATCTCTTGATCTTTAATTACGAAATTCTGTAAAATATCCTGCAAATGAAGCTGTTTTTACGCTGATTACTAAACGCAATTTTAATGGAATCATCCTTCGGTGTCTCCGGAGCGTTTTATTACCGGAGAGCTTCACCTGCTCCTTTATATCCTATGGTATTTCTAAGTTGTTGGTATCCTTGAAAATGTAACTCGATTGCTCCTTTTCCATTGTAGCCGATTAAGGTGACACTTCCGACAAACGTCGTTCGTGGGAGGTTAAGACTTATTTCAAAATTGAGTTGTCTTAAACTATAGTGTGAAGTCTCTGGCATATGTAATTATTAAGTTTCGGCTTTTCGGTGGTTTTGTTATGAATGCAGATCCTTCAAATCAAATTCAGGACACACTCAATTTGGGCCATAATTACATGTACGTAAATAACTCAGCATTTCCTCGAGTGCGATGCATAGTCTATTAGAATCTGCAGGTAGAGTATGTCACTAGCTATATGCTGCATATATATGTTAATCACAACGTTAAATCAGCATCCTGCCGTACTTATGGTCAATGATCGCCCAGGACCTATTTTCGGATAGGGAACTCAAGATTTTAATACATTTCTTCTAATCAGCAAGGCTATTCTATACTGTGAACGGATTCCCATTCCTGTTTTAAAAGGTATCTTAACATTGAAGTATGATAACAGTAAATTTATAAATTAATAAGACTGGACGACAACTGCGAAAACCAAGAACGCCAATTTCTGAGATTAAATGGAAAAATACTGGAAACGCTCGACTGTTCAGTATGGTTCAATAGGTTATCGACCTGAAACATTAACCCTACCTTCCTCTTTGCATATATACTAGTTAGGTTGCTGCGTATTTGCAGCATTTTATATTTCAAATTAAAATGTCCTGGCAATTTCTGTCCTGAATGTCATTTTGCACTTTGATATGTGATACTGTCTGCTTATTTTAAGTTCGATGTTTGCAATGCTAGGGATCGATTTTCATTCCTGAATATTTTTCTCGGAAAACTGAATCGTACTGGTTGGATAACAAAGACGTCATTGTACAGGAAGGAAAATGTGAAGATTGATAATCCATTTCCTGTTATTTGCACGGTTGAAAGTGCGTTTCCTGTTAGCAACCCAGGAGGTGTAGAACTAATGGCGTCCCGTTTCCTCGGCAGGGTACGCAAGTAGATGTAACAATTGTGAAAAAAAATGATGACCTAGTGAGTATAAATCATTTGCCGAAACGATATTTAGGTTTTTCTCTCGCTTCTTAGCCTGCAAGGGATTGGTCTGCACAGTACAGATTACGTAACATCGCCACAAACATAAGAGTGCAGTCTTTTTAGCATTTTTGAGCGGTACTTAGCAGTTTGGGCCTGCAGTCTCTTTTTTTCGGTGCACATTTGTGCAACACTTTAATAGACTTGATTTACAGTTTATTAGACGGCAAATGTGGAATGACAAAATGGCAAAAGATCTTTCACATTCCGGTTGGCCTAACTACTTGTATGTGCCAAGGAACTTCTTGCAAACAAAAAACAATCTTTATAACCAATTTTGCAGGTAACGAATGCCCTCTGAGTTAAACTTTGTTAACATTTTATGTGCTCAAAGGTACCTGTATTAAATATATATCGAGTACCAGTGGGAATTAAAGTTGCGCACCTGTTAACTCATTCAATTTGGTGGGAGTGAAAACATCAGTGAAAAGTAGCTTGTAATGCGGTACATGTCAAGACTGGCAGTGTGGTCTAATTCATTTAAAACAAATAAAAGTACTCTGTTGAGGGAGTGCACAACAAGAGGCAGTTTATTACTTAAAGAACATGCAGGCCAGGTGAAAAAAAAAATCAATGATCAGTGACTTCCAAATATTCATTAAATAAAACCTCAAGTGAATTGGTGGATGTTCCATAGTCATTGTCATACACATGAGGAGTTGGAAAAGTAGAAAGTATTTTGACAAGATAGCAACAAATATTTTTTAAAATAAAAACAGTGCTGGAGAAACTCAGCATGTCTGACAGCATCTGTGGAAGGAAAAGCAGAGTTTACATTTCAAACCCAGTGACCAAAGGGTCAGCAACTTGGTTTTTGTTCTTTATTTTTAGCTCTTTTAAACATGTTTTACTGTTTAATTTAACCTTATCTTTTCTTATAGAGTCGTAGGAGCCAGCAGCACACAAAAAGGTCCTTCGAGTTTGTGCTGGTCATAAAACTATATCTAAATATTCTAACCTACCTTCCAGCACATGGCCCATAGCCTTGGCATCAAGCATGTGCATCTAAAGACTTCCTAAATGTTAAGATTTTCTGTCTTTTCCACCCTTTTCAGGAAGTGAGTTTCTATACCAGAATTTAATTTTACCCGCTGTGTTCTAAACTTGCTGATACTGTTATAAAACAAAAATCTTACTAATTTTACTCCTTGCAAATTTCAGTCGATCCACATTCATAGCATTTTAAAGAATGTTGCAGATTTCTGTTCATATGAATGAAAACGAATAGTAAGAGGAGTAAAAACGTGCCCTCCTGGATCAGGTTTTTCCCATAAAAGAAAATAATTTGTGTCTACCCTGTCAGATTCCTTATTGTTTTAAACACCTCAAGTAGATTAACCTCAGCCTGCTAATCACAAGGAATAAATTTATGACACTTGTCCCCCTAATTTATCCCGGGATGGCTCAGTGGTTAGCACTGCTGTCTCACAGCGCTAGGCACCCGTGTTTGATTACACCCTCGGCCAACTGTCTGTGTGGAGTTTGCACATTCTCCCTGTGTCTGTGTGAGTTTCTTCTGGGTGCTGTGGTTTCCTCCCACAGTCCAAAAATGTGTAGGCTAGGTGGATTGGCCATGCTAAATTGCACGTAGTGTTCAGGGATGTGTAGATTAGGTGTGTCATAGGGGGATGGGTCAATGTTGGATGCTCAGAGGGTTGGTGTGGACTTGTTGGGCCGAAGGGTCTGTCTTCACGTTGTAGGTATTCTGCAATCTATGAACCCCTGGTATAATTTTGGTGAATTTGCATTCAATTCTTTCCTGAAGTTTAGTACCCAAAACTGAATCTCCAGTTGCAAAATATTTCCAATGAAACAAAATATGCTGGAAATATTTAGCAGGCTAGATAACATCTGTGTAGAGAAGCAAAATTTATGTTTCATATTTTATTAATCTGACATATCAACAGAGTTTCTCTAAAGCAGGGATGCCTACCATTTCACGTAAGGGTTCAATTTTTGTCTTGTGAACCAGTGGAGAGGAGTTGGACAAGTTTAGTTGTCGGGGGAGGGGGGTGCGGTGGCGGCGTGGTTTCACATCAGTAAGCATGGATTTCAAAGGAGAAAATCCTAAACAGTAAATTGATCAACCTGCATTTGCCTCCTCTATTACACTGCTTTGTCCAAACCCCACAAAAATACTATCAACAATGTGTGGAGCAGGAGTCACTCACCCACTCAGCTCCCAAGTAAGTCACTCACTCACCCATCCACGTCAGCCTCCCAGTCAGTCACACCTATCTAGCCCACCAGTCAATCAGACTCCTTCACTTACCTATTAGTCCAGACCTACCTCTCTCCCGCATGCACTCTCTCACACACACACACTCACTCACTCCCATTCTTCCAGTCACTTGTTTGTCCAACTTGCTAACATTCACTCAGTCACTCACCCACCCAGCTCCCCAGTCACTGGGCTCTCCAGTTGGTTAGTCATTCACATCCCAGTTACACACATACTTAGTATGTTGTCCAGCTCCCCCACTCACCCATACAGTCCCCTTGTCCGTCATTCACCCACTCAGACACTTGTCATTGTGAGTCATTCACTTACTCCCACCCAGGCCCCCCTCCTCATTTCATTTCAGGCTGTGAGCTGCTTGATGTACAGGCCTGCTGTATACACCATGTCAGGCAGTAATTAAGTAATGTTTTCTATCTGTGCATTGCTGCTAGTAGTTTGTGGAAACTTAAATCCTTTTTAAGTTCCACAGCTCCCAAGTGTCTTAGCATTAAAAAAATTGACTTGTTTTTCTCGAGCCCAGAATGAACGACCTAATATGTCTTCAAATTTGAACTTTTTCCTTAGATTTGGCATCGCACAACCTTGTCTGTGTCTGAAACAATCTTCTCCCACACAACTTATTGTGTCTCTGAATGTTGTGTCATTTGCTACTTGAATATTGACCTCTACTTCTTGACCAAGTCAAATTTATGACAACTGTTATTGAACCTTGGCTGAGAGACAAATGGCAGAAAACTAGTGAGAACCAAGTTTATCGCTGAATCCATTGAATGGAGTAGGTTTCATGTTAAAATGGTGAAGGTCAAAAACCCTTAAATCTCTGTCCTTTGTTTACTGATACTCATGCTAGTGACAACAGTACTGTAGTTAATTTATTAAAACCATTCACAAATTTAAAATACATTTCTTGTTAACCTTACTTGCTCTAAAGAGGACAATCTTAGTTTTTGACTTGTCACTGCATCTATTTGTGTATGGAATACCCAAGGTACACATACACTGATGCCTTTATGTCCTATCTCAACAATGAGTTTCTGCACATTATAGACTAGCTGAATGGTTGGGTGAATTGCTTCAAGTTTTGAGCATATTTTTCCACATACATAGTGATGGATACCCTCATGTTTGTGAAGGCTATGCCATTAGCAGTGTTGTGTCCATGTGTTTACTTGATATTGCTTACTGATTTACCAAAGTACCACTCAAACAATATATAGATGTTTGCACTGCTGTGCTATATCACAGCAGTCCAGCCACCATTGTGTGAATCAGAATTCATTGAACTTCTAAACTTAGCGACTGGACTGTTGGATTTAGTTTTAGTTGCGTGCACAAGAACTTGGGATTGCCATGGTCACTGCGTGGAAATATATTTGTTGGGTTCCATAAGCGTATCTTTGATGAAGTAACACCCAGGTTCCTTTCTCTTGCTAATATCCAATATATACATGCAGCTGCAGATTCCTTAATGTCTTAATGGACTCCAACCTATGCTCAAATTCATCTTTAAATGGAACAATCAAATGAGCTTCTTTCCTTGACATCCCAGGTGAGAAATTGGCCATGGGATTCTCTAGTATAAGTTTTTAAAAAGCACTTGGATCAGCACTTTAAATGTCATAACATTCAAGTCTATGGATCTAATGTAGAAAAATGGGATTAGTGTAGGTAGTAGTATATTTTTGGTGGTACAGACACAATGAGCTGAAGGGCTTTTTCCATTCTGTATGATTCTGCAAACCTGTAATTATTGGTTAGTATACATGTTGGGATACCTGTAGTTGCACACATGTCAAGATTGTCCTTATTATCACACTTGTGAATCAGGCCTGAGCCTGTTTGTTCACCCTGTATGCTTAATGTTGAAATAGGGTGCATCAAAACCATCTTGTGGGATAATTGCTTGACTGATCAGATCATTTCTTAATTTGTTGATGAGGTCCACTTCCCATTAAATTCATTTATTTATTGTCACGTGCACCAAAAATACAGTGAAAAGCTTTGTTTATGAGCAGTATAGGCAGATCATAGTAAGCATAGGATGTACAGATCAAAATGACTTGGATAAAGGCATACAGGTTACATTGCACAGGGCATGTGCTAGGCAAGATCAACGTTAGCAAGATAAGCATTATTTGAGGCTAGAGAGTCCATTCGTTAGTCTGACAGCAGCTGGGAAGAAGCTGTTCCTGAACCTGTTCGTGCGTGTGTTCAGGCATTAAATTGGTCTCCGTTCTAAAATGTGTCAGTGGAAGGAGTGGGCGATAAAAGTTGGCCGAACCAGTGACATCAGCATAAAAAATGTCCCCTGGCCATGAGAGTGGGAGAGATGGTTCCCTGGCTGCAGGGTCTGGAGAGAGAGAACAGTCCCTGGGCCACCAGAGCTGTAAAAAACACAAACTGCTTCTGTAGTCCAAGGAGAATTCTCATTTGCGTAACAAATTGGAGTTAAGATAGAAGTGACACTGGAATTGAGTGACTGTAAAAGATATTACTGAGGAAAGAATTTTTAAAAAATTTTCTAAATTTATGTATATTTCAGCTTCGTTTTTAAGGTAATGATTTTGTGTTTAGATGATAGGATGGGCAGGCTTGGCTTGTTTTCAGAAGAGTGAGGGTGACTAGATTGAAATGTACAAAAATTCCTGAAAGGCGTTGACAAGATGAGCATAGAAAGGATGTTTATTGTTGTGGGTTT